GCTTTGCCGAACTGAAAAGAATACATAGATAAATAAATATTAGTAGTATAATGCTGAGTTTAAATTAAGAATCAGTATGAAAAAAAATGAAAGTTAGCTGCTCAGTCATGTCTGACCCTTTGCCATCCCATGAACTATAGCCTGCCAGGCTCCTCTGTCCATGGAATTCTCCAGGCAAGAGTACTGTAGTGGGTTGCCAATTTAAAAGATCTCAGTTCTTTCTGTATTGATTCTGTGCATACTCTCTTATATGCTTTCAATCATGAGTCTTTCCCTTCTTCCATAGTTTGGGGACATAAGAGAAATACTCTACCTGTTATATAGAGACAACCAGTGCTGTGATGGAAGAAAGACTAAGAAATCATTGAGGGAGGAGATGGAGACAAGAGAGACTGGCATTCCAGGCAGAAGGAACTGCAAGGCAAACACACAGACTCACAAATGAATATGACAGCTGCCTGTGGATGCAGATGAACACACAGACACCCACTGAAAACCCTTCATAGTAAAATAAGAAAACCAAGTTCATGCCTTCTCCTTCTCTGGTATGAACTGTCCAAAGGCTGGGACCTAATGCCCTGAACACACATCTCACAGTCCATAATCAGAGCTTCTGCTCCTAAATGCCCTGTGATCACATGAATCTTCCTCAGGACAAGAGGCCACACACACCTGTCATGGTCACTAATGGGCACCTACCAAGAGGAATTATTCACTGGACACTAACACAACTGCTGCCTCTGTAGGAAGTCTGGCCCCATCAGAGGTCTGTGAGCCTCTACAAAGTTGCCTTTTCCCTGCACAGAGTAGGAAAAGAAAGTAGAATCTGGACAGAATCCACAAGAGATACACAAAAATTTCTTATTGCACTTTAGCTTTCACTAAGCTTTTCCGTGGCAATGTGTACTGTTCTGTGGTGACTGACATGACTACACTTCTAATATCTTGGTCTCCTTAGGACATGACATATTCAGGAAGAGGCAGGTATATCTGGACAGCCATGTGGTCTCTGAAATGCACAGAGGCAAAGCACACACCTCCTGGTTTGCAGGGGAAAGGAAAGGATCAGGAAATTATCTGTCTCCTGGCCCCAGTAAGGTAAGCAAAGTCTAATTAGTCTAATAAACAATCTCCAGATTCTGATAGAATTGAAATCTCACCTGCCCAGGCTCAGTCCCTCCTCCAACTGAGACAGCTGCAGCAGGGATAGGAAAAGAGTCACATTACTGCCCCTTTCTGTCTCCCACTGACCATAAAATGAAGGTGGGAGCTGGCTGCAGGGAAGACTCAGTCAAGTGGAACAGTTGCAGTTCTGTTGATGCCTCTGCTGTGGCACACGCCTCTCGCGTAGGAGACACACTGGCTGGCAGGGGCTAACAGTGACATCCCCAGTGGAATCTCAGGGACAGACACAGTCCCGACCCACAGACCTCCTACTTCCTCTTCAGTATTTACAAATGGTGAAGAAATTTTTCTTTTTCTTTTTTTTTTTTTTTGGACAAAGCCATCCAATCCAGGAAGACTAAGTCCAGCCCTGTGGTTGGCTTAACGTGAAAACACACTCCGTTGTTAAAGGCTCACTAAAGGGATCCTTGCTCTCACTTCTCCTCAATCTGTCAGCTATTCTTTTCTGACCCAGAGCAGGAATCAGGGTGGCAAAGCCAGGTTCATGATCTCTTAACTGGGAAAAGGTTTCTTAACTTGTTTTCAACATTGCAGTCTGCCCAAACTGTGGAAAACACCACTTACCAGAGATATGTTTCAGACCAGACCAAGAGCAGGGATGTTTCTTTCAACATGGAATTGAAAGGACTGTGTACCATTGATTCCTCATCAGTCGCAAGTATTTGGGGCTGTCTCTGAGACAACAGTACCCAGGTAGCTGCTGGATAGTCTCCAAGAGCTTCCACTATCACAGGGTGACAGAGTGGTTCTGCAATCCAAGGTTTGAATCTAGTTTGAACCCAGTTTCTCCTGCAGAGGCAGTAGCTCTGCTTTTGTCCAACAAGCAATTCCACTTTGTAGGTACCCAGAAGTGACCATGACATGTTGTGTCACCTCTTGTCCTAAGGAAGGCTCACAGAGGATGTAGTAATACAAGGTGTAGACTGTGAGATGTATATTTAGAGCTACACCTTCTACCTGTAAAAGTTCAGACCAGAGAAGGAAAAGGTATAATTTGGTTTTATTATTTTTCTTACTTTACTATTGCTCATTTTACTATTGAGGTCTTTAATTGGCTATTTAACTGTTTTCATCTGCATCCACAGGTAGCTGTCAGGTTCAATTGTGAGCTTGTATCTTTGCCTTGCATTTCTTTCTGCCTAGAATGCCAGGCTCTCTTGTCTCCACCTCCTCCTTCAATGATTTCTCAGTCTTTCTTCCATCATAGCATTGATTGTCTCTGAATGTCAGAGTATTTCTCTGATATCGCTAAACTATGGCAGGAGGGAGAGACTCCTGACTGACAACTGAGAAATAGAGCATTTCCTGCAATATCAGTAAACAAGGATGTCCCAACCATCAGCAATTCCAGCCCTCCAGGTGTGAATTTCTGAGCCCAGAAGATGCCCAGGAAGAACAACACCTGCTATCATGCAGCCATCAGGTTGCTGCCACTCCCTACGGTGAGCACTGAGGAGCTCGAGGGGATGTGAAAAATGCAGAGTACTGGTCTCAGATAACTGAAATGCATTTGAAAAGAATGATTTCAGTGGGCCCAGACTTATATAATAACCACCTACACACTGAACAACTATCCCAAGAAATAGAACATCTTCGATAACTATACCTACCTCTGTTTCTATTTACTCCATGCCCTGTCACCAGCCCTTGGGTGACAGCTTCATGAAGTACGTGTTTCCTTTCTTTCATTTGTTGTGTTATCATGGACATATACATGCCTGAGCAATACTTTGTTGAGCTCTCCTGAGGTTTTATTTAAAAGGCATTATATTGGTTCTTGGGGCTTCCCTGGTGGCTCAGTGGTAAAGAATCCTGTTGTCCCAATGCAGGAGGCCTGGGTTTGACCCTGGGGACAGGAAGATCCTTTGGAGGAGGAAATGACAACCCACTTCGGTATTCTTGCCTGGAAAATCCCATGGACAGAAGAGCCTGGTTGGCTATAGTCCATGGGGTGGCAAAGACTCAGTGACTCTTTGTTGTTTAGCAACTGAACAATAGCAAACACTGGTCCTAAATCTTAAAACTCAACACTATGTTACTAATATTTATTTATCTATTTTTAAGCTATGACTCAAATCCTTTCAGTGCTGCACAGCTCTGTTTATTTTTCCATTCTCTCTCAAAGGCTACCCTCTTTTCCCACAATTATGAAGCCCAATATTAGGAACACACTGCTACACATTCCCTGTACATTTGTGCATAGTGACTCTTAGGTGCCATCTTAGGAGTGGAAATGCTGTGTTCCAAGGTATATGAATGCACAGCTTTTACAAAATTAAGCCATATTGTTTTTTTCAAAGTGATTGTAATCTTTTAAAGTTTATTATTTTTTAACTGATCAAAGTGATTATATTAATTTATATTCTCAGCAACTATGTTTCAATGATCCTACTGATCCACATTCTCATTAATACTCTATATCATCCATCTTCTAACTGTTCCAGTTGAATTGATGTACAGTGTCATCTCATTTTGCACAGATTTACATTTTTCTAATTATTAAGAAGGCTGCTAAGCTATCTGTGTGTTTATTGGCCAGACATGTTTTGTTTTGTTTTGGTTCTTTTTTCAGAGAATGGTCTGTTAATGTCTTTTGCCCACTTCACTAGATTGTTTCTCATGCTCTTAGTGGTTTCTGAAATTTAAAATATACTTTTTTTCTATTGATTCTTATTTGACATCATGTATACAAATATCTTCTCCAGGTTTTTGGATATTCTTTAATTTTTACTGTCCTTAAACATTTTTTTTCATGAACAGAATTTTTTCTTATTAATGTAGTCAAAGGCACCTCACTTGTCAGTGTTTGCTATATAGCTATCACTTGGGTGTCTGTACCATAAGGGTATCTGTACCCTAATATCAACTATATTTTCTTGTAGAATTTTCCACTTGAAATTTAGGCCTTTCCACCTTCCAGAGTTCATTATCAAAAGTGATGAAAAGGTGGGGCAGTACCTTTTTCCATATGGATAACTAGTTTGTCAAACTCCATTTGTTAGACAGTGCTTTCTTTACCCACTGAAATGCCATGCACTTCTTCCATTCATCAGACTTCCATACATGCCTGAGTCTGATACAAGGCTCAGTACTGTGTTCTATAGGACTGTTAGTTCATTCTTCATCTCTTCCCAAGTACAGCATTAATATATACTTTGTTTATTTTTACAATGTATAAAATATACATGAAAATATGTCATAAATGGTATGGCAAACCTTCCTGTTTTCTTAAAAAATTTTGGTATTTTCCCCTTCATCTTCCACATGAATTTAGGAATCCCCTGACCTGCCAGAGTGATCCACATCCAGGTTTGACCACATGGCAGTCAGGTATAGGGCTCCTAATGACAAAAGAACAGAAGGACATGAGGGAGAATGGGTACATGTATATGTATGGTTGAGGCCCTTTGCTGTGTACCTGAAACTACCGCAACATTGTTTATTGGGTATACTCCAATATAAAATTTAAAATTAAGAAAAAACATAACGACAGAGAAAAGTTGGAGAAATATTTCTTGCTCATTCACTGGAAGCTTTGAGAAGTTTCTCACAACTGTCCTCACTCCCTGCCCCTTGTGCTCCCCTGGGTGTCTTCATTAGGTGACCTCCCAGGGTCCTTGGAAACCTGCCCTTTCTCGCCCCTCATACCCCTGTGAGCTCCTTACTCACTGAGCTTCCTAGAGTTACACTCTTGTATTTTTCTTTTCTGGGAAATATTTCTGCTGTAGAGAAAGATGTAAACATTGATTGCTGTGGTTTCATTTTCATTTCCTAGAAATGGGCATTAACAACTATCATCTTTTTTTCTTCCCCACAAAGGAAGTGTTGAAACCAGAGGCTCTGATATTCTCTACTGCCTCCCATCCTGGACGTCATTTCTCAGGCAGGCTACATGCTTCCCTGTCCTTGCTCTATACTTTGTCTGCATTAGCCTGGACAAGGACAGTTCTCTGGAGTGTTCCTGTGCTGGGGGCTGCAGGGAGCAGTTCACCAGACTGCATTTTCTGCTCGCTTAGTGGAAGCTCTCAGATCTGAGCTCTGACCAGAAACATCTTTTCTCTTTTGACTGGTAAGTGAGCAAACTCCTTGCACTGAAGTGATGGGATGCTGGCCTTTTGCTTGGAGGCCTGAAGGGCAGAAATGGCTGATGGAGAGCTGAGAGTTGGTGCAGAAGACCTGGTCATCCTCCTCAGGTGGTCAAGAGAGTGAGTGACAAGCTGAGAACTGCCCAGGGCTAGGGCAACGATGATGGAAATAAGCAGAGTAACTGGATTCCAGATAGACTTGGGGAGGTCACAGGATTGTAGATACGAGATAAGAGAGAAAGACAGTTATGTGGGTGACCCCATGTGCAAACAAAGGGTGGCACTGACATTACCTGGAAGGGAGAAGACTATAGAAGGAAAGGGATGGGGACTTGGTTTAGGTAGGCTTGGACTTGTTCAGTTATAAGATCATCCTAGACACACAAGTGGGAGATGTTGTGTAAACAATGGGGTATTTGTGAATGAGGTTAGGGAAGACTTCAGCACCTTCAGCACAGAGGTGGTGCTGGACAACATGGGACAGGGTAAGAAAACCTAAATGGTGAATGTATGTGGAGCAGCATCAGGACTGAGCCTGTTTGAAGGGAGGCAATAATTCTCTTCTACTCTTGTGAGTGCATTGGGCTGGTCTTATAACTAAAATGACATGAGACAGAATAATATGAGGAAAAAACAAATGCAATTGTCTATGCTTGGGGACTTCATAATATATAGCACAAAGACATTCAGGCAATCGGTGCTTATACGCCATTTGGATTTCAGGAGAAAGGTAGGAGCCTCGGACTTCAAAGGGGAGAATCAATTTTAGAGAGGTTTGGTAAATGTTTACCATGCCAGGCTGAAAGCAATGGGAAACAGAGAAGGCTTTGATCAAACAGGCCTTGCTAAGTTTCCCCAAGTCTACTCTACCTAGCTCATAGTCTGTAGGTATCTCTGGTGATAGCTCTTCTCCCTAGATTAGGCCCTTTATCTAAATTCTTTAAGGCAGTTAAGGGGAAGGTAAAAGCTCTTCTTGAGTCTTTGGTTTCTTAAAATTAATTATTCTAAATAACACTAATGCCAAGGAGTCACATTTGGGTCAGCATAGTTTGTTCCCTTACAACATAGACACACCCAATCTTAGATCTTGGTTTGGGGTGGGGAGGTGCAAACAAAACAAGTTTGGTCAGCCACAGTATTTAAACTGCTTTAATTTAAAACAAATTATTTGGGGGCACAAAATTTTTCCTCTACCCTGCTAGGTTCTTGTAGCTGGTCTAAGAATTAAATTGACATGAGATAGATCAACAGGGGGAAAAAAAAGCAAATACAATTACTAAACATAGGTAAGGGTGGTGGCTCTAGAAGTATATGAGATGCAGAGGCAATCAGGCAATCAGAATGTATTCATTCTGAGCAAAGTTGGTGGGTTTAGGAGTCTAGTATTTCAAAGGTGAGGAAGACAATGCACATAGTAATGGGAAGATTGAAAGTTTGGTAAACAATAGTTGTCTTACCATGTAGAGACAGTGGGACACAGAGCAGAATGTGAGCACATAGGCCTTGGAAAATTTCCCAGCCTACTATGCCCAGCTCATATTGGTTTCAGTTACCTCTGGTGATAGCTCCTTTCTTGGAGGAAGCCCCCTATCTAACTGCTTTTAAGCAGCTAAGAGGGAGGTAAAAAAGAAAGCTTCCTGAGCATTCTGTTTCTGAAAAATAAACAACCTAAACTAATCCTAATACCGGAGAAACATTTTGGGGTGGTAATGTTGCTCCCCTACACTGGTCATTCATCTGATTTTTCTTTCACCTTGAAACAGAATGTCTTCTCATTGCTCAAAATTCCTTCCTTTGTATCCCTTAAAAGTCACATGTTTTTGAAACATTTAAATGCCCTGCTTCCAGGCTAAGATCCCTGATGCTAGTGTCATCCTCTCAGGCAGCTCCTATTCTTATAATGGGGTCAGGGGAAGAAAGAGAGGAGAAGCTGCCTCTTTTCCTCTTCCTGAAGCAATTGCCTCAGTTGGAGGAGGGACTGAACCAGGGCACGTGAGATTTCAACTCCATAGCCATCTGGAGATGGTTTATTAGATTGTTTGGAATTTTGTCTACCTGATTGGCACCAAGAGACAGGATATTTTCTGAGCCATTCTTTGCCTCTGCAAACCAGGAGCTGTGTACTTTGCCTCTGAATTTCAGAGACCGTACTGATGTCCAGATATACCTGCCTCCCCTTGAACATGTTATGCCCAAAGGAGACGAAAATATTAGAAGTCTAGCCATGTCAGTCACCACAGAACCGTTGCCACTGCCACTGAAAATCTTTGCAACCCTATGGACTGTAGCCTGCCAGGCTCCTCTGTTCATGGGATTCTCCAGGCAAGAATTCTGGTGTGGATTGCCATGCCCTCCTCCAGGGGATTTTCCTGACCCAGGGACTGAACCTGCATCTCTTATGTCTCTGCATTGGCAGGCAGGTTCTTTACACTAATTAGCACCACCTGGGAAGCTCTGTAAACTACCATGTGACCCAAAAATCCCACTACTGGGCCTATACTCTGAGAAAATCATAACTGAAAAAGACACATGTACCAACGTTCATTGCAACACTACAATAGCTAGGACATGGAAGCAACCTAAATGTCCACCAACACATGAATCGATAAAGACGTTGTGGTACATATATGCAGTGCTCGTTGTTCTTAGTAAACTCACTTCCTCCTGCAATACTCTGAGTCTGGAAGCTCTTTTACAGCCCATACGCAGACTGACACAACATTCTTCCCTTTGCTTCTGTTCCCCGCTTTTCTTACCTGAATGCGTGAACCTAGTCTGGTCTAAACTGGAGGCCTGGCACTCAGCCTCATGGTCCACCCTCCAGCCTGCCCAGTTCTGGTTGTGAAGGGATGACATTTAAGCATCTTATGGGTTAAGTGTTTGCTGAAAGGTGGGGGAACATGGAAGGAGGTGGTACAAGCAAAAGAAGCTGAATCTGCTTTCCTTCCTGGACCCTGTGAATTCCTTTGAACCCAGCCACAAACCATTTCAGGCATTTAATGGCCAGATTCGCCTTGAAAGTGGAACCCAAACATAGAAAACTTTTCAAAATGTGACTCTACAGTGCAGTCAGCAAGCAACCCTGGTATGTCTCTTGTGGACTCGGCCTAGATTCTGCTTTGGATTCCTACTCTGTGTGGGAAGAAGGCATCTTTGCAGAGGCTCACAGACCTCCAATCAGGCCTGTTAGGAGTTCCTCCTGAAGAAGCAGAAGTAGTGCTTCTGTCCGAGGAACAGTTCAACTCTGTAGGTGCCCAGGAGTGACCCTGACAAGTTGTGCCATCTCTTGTCCTTAGGAAGATTTATGTGATCTTAGTCGACCTAGGGCTACAAAATCTGACTATTGATTGTGAGGTGTGCATTCAGGGACATCACGCCCCAGCCCACTGAGAAAAGGCCACTCCATACCAGAGTCTATCATATGGGGCATAAGACTTGGAATGACCCTCAAAATAAGGACCAGACCAGCCCTGCGGAAACCTGAACAGTCTTTTTAATACTGAGGTCTTTAATTCGGTGTCTGTGTGTATTCATCTGAATCCATGGCTAGTTGTCACGTTCATTGTCAGTTTTCATCTTTGCCTTGCAATTTGTTCTTCCTAGAATGCCAATCTCTCCTGTCCCCTCCACTTCCTTGAAGCATTTCTCAGTTTTCCTTTTTCCATCATAACATCAATTGTCTCTATATGTCAGACAGAATATTCCCAAACTAGGGAAGGAGGGAGAGGTTCATGACTACAGATGAAAGAATATATGCAGCACCAATTTGCAAAGAACTGAGATATTTTCTTTTTTAAAATCCTTTATCACCTACACACTGTACAACCATTCCAAGAAACACAACGCCTTCAATAACTATGCCTACGTGTATGCTCCTATTTGCGCCATGCCCCATCACCAGGCCTTGGGTAACAACGTCATAAAGTGTGTGTTTGATAACTTTGTTTCACTTGTTATTTTATCACTTAATATGCCTGCCTAAACCATGTTTTGTTATGTTTTCTTGAAAATATATTTAAGGGTATTCTACCTTTTAAAACTTCTTTATTGATTTACAGTTCTGTGTTAGTGTCAGGTGTACAGCAAAGTTCATCTGTTACGACTTTAATGTATATTCACTCTTTATTAGATTCTTTTTCCGTATACACCATTGCGGAGTATTGAGTAGCATTCCCTGTGCTATACAATAGATCCTTGTTAGTTACTTAGTTAACTCATTTTAATTTAGCTTTTTATTGACATATAGTTGATTTACAATGTTTCTCCAATCTCTGCTGTACAGAAAAATGACAGTTATATACATATAGACTTTTTTTATATATTCTTTCCAGTTATGATTTATCATAGGATATTGAATATAGTTCCCTGTGCCATATAATAGCACCTTGCTGCTTATCCATCCTATATATAATAGCTTACATCTGCTAATCCCCAATTTCCAATACTTCCTTCCCCTGCCCCCTCCCCATGGCAGCCACAAGTCTGTTCTCTATGTTTGTGAATCTGTTTCTGTTCCATAGATAGTCTCATTTGCATCATACTTTAGGTTCCACATATAAGTGATAGGTACGGTATTTGTCTTTTGTTTCCTGACTTTGCTGAGTATGATCATCTCTATCTGCATTCATGTTGCTGCAAAAACATTATTTTGCTCTTTGATGGCAGAGTAATAGTCCATAGATTGTACATACAACATCTTCTTTTCCTCTGTTGAGGGACATTTAGGTTGCTTCCAAGACCTCTCTGTTGTAAATAGTGCTGCAATGAACATTGGGGTGCATGGATCTTTTTGATTTATGGTTTTCTCCAGATATTTGCCCAGGAGTGGGGCTGCTAGATCATCAGTTCAGTTCAGTCTCTCAGTCATGTCGGACTCTTTGCCACCCCGTGGACTGCAGCACGACAGGCTTCCCTGTCTATCACCATCTCCCGGAGCTGACTCAAACTCATGTCCATTGAGTCGTTGATGCCATCCAACCATTGCATCCTCTGTCATACTCTTCTTCTCCTGCCTTCAGTCTTTTCCAGCATTGGGGTCTTTTCAAATGAGTCAGGCACCGCTGAGCGACTTCACTTTCACTTTCCTGCATTGGAGAAGGAAATGGCCACCCACTCCAGTGTTCTTGCCTGGAGAATCCCAGGGCCAGAGGAGCCTACTGGGCTGCTGTCTATGGGGTTGCACAGAGTCGGATGCAACTGGAGCGACTTAGCAGCAGCAGCAACAGCGTAACAATGGATCATTCTTTTCAGTGCTGTAGAACTCCATTTATTTATCCATTCTCTGTCAATATGAAGATTGCTATCAGGAACACATTTTACATATCACCTGTACTTTTTGCACACTGACTCCTCAGTACCATCTTAGGAGCAGAGATGCTGAGTCACAAAGTACGTGAATGTAACCAGTTTATAAAATTTATCCATACTGGTTTTTCAGAGTTTCAGAGACCCTAATACTCAGTGTGGTCAAACTTTTTAAATTTTCCAATTGAATTGATATACACTGTCATCTCATTGTGCACAGATTTGCATCTGCCTCATTACTAAGGAGGCTGTTAAAGTTTCTGTGTGCTTACAGATCACATGTGGTTTTTTGTTTCTTTTTCTGAGAAAGATCCCTTTGTTCCTCTCTTCCACTTCCATACTAGATTGTCTTGCTTTTTCATGTTTACCATTTTAAAAATATCTTCTTTGCATTGATTTTTAGTCTAACATGTTTGTGCAAATATCTTCTCCATGTGTCTAAAGAAATTTTTACCCCCCCTTCAGCATATCTTTTTATGAAAAGAAGCTTTTCATTTTAATGTAGTCTAAGTCACCTCATTTGTCAATCTTTTTTATAGAGCTATCATTTGGGTGTCTTGTTTAAGAAATTTTTTTACCCTAAGATCAGTTATATTTTCTTCTAGAGTTTTCCATTTGAAATTTCAGTCTTTACTCTCCTTCTAGAGTTGATTATCAGTAGTGCTAGAAGTAGAGAATCAGTAACATTCTCCATATGGATAACCAGGATAACCAATTTGTCCAGCTCCATCACTACACAGTACCTACTTTTCTCACTGACGTGCCATATATGTCTCCTATTAAACACAATTCCACACATGCTTGAGGCAAACATAAAGATCAGTGTTGTGTTCTGAGGGTCAGTTGGTTTATCTCTATGCTGGCACCGAAGTACAGTATAAAATATGCTTTGTTTATTTTCATGATGTATAAAATATACTGAAAATATACCATACATGGTATGGAAGTTCCTCCCATCTTTTCTCAAAATGTGAGTTCTAAAATATCAACCACATCTTCCTGTTGTTTAGTCATGAAGTCGTGTCTGATCCTTTGCAACCCCATGGACTGCAGCATGACAGGCTCCTCTGTCCTCCACTATCTCCCAGAGTTTGCTCAAATTCTTCCTGAGAGAGACTCTTAGGTTAGAGACTTCCTGATGCCTCCCATTTGGGCCTCATTACCCAGGGAGCACAGAGACTTGCTAATCCTTGTTCTTTACAGTGAGCACAGAAGCACACTCTGATTGCATTCCCTGGTAAAAACTTAAGTTTTGGGAAGTGTTCCTGTGCAGCATCTGCTGTCTTAATGGAAACATTTGGATCTGCCCTCTGTCATAGGAAATCTGTTTTCTCTCTAGAGCTGGTGAGTAAGCATGCTGTATATCTGCAATGGCCAATTCTGGCTTTGTGCTTAAAGGATGGAGGGCAGGGGTGGCTGGTAGAGAGCTGAAGTCCCATCTTCTTCTCCTTTTTTTAAATTGAAAACGTTGTAAGAAAATTTGAAACAAGAGAATGTTTACTGCTTTCACCAATGGTAAATTATGCAATGTTTGATGCCCATTGAGAGTTTTCTGATTCTAGCCTTATTATCATAGAGCTATTTTTTTCCTTTATTTTTATTAGTTGGAGCCTAATTACTTTACAATATTGTAGTGGTTTTTGTCATACATTGACATGAATCAGCCATGGATTTACATGTATTCCCCGTCCCGATCCCCCCTCCCACCTCCCTCTTTGCCATGTTCTTAATCCATGCAGGCTATGACAAAACCACAGACTGGGTTCCCTATTGAAAAAAATCTATTTCTCTTATTTTTGGACAGCTGGAAGCCAAGATCAAGGCAACTATAGATTAGGTGTCTGATGAGAGCACACTTCCTAGGTGGGTGCCTTTCCTGTAACATGTGACAGAAGGATTAAGCTAGATCTCAGAGATCTCCTTTATGAGGGCACTAATCCATTCGTGATGGCTCTGCCTGCATGACCCAGGCAACTTGCAAGGGCCCATTTATTAATACAATCACTTTGAGCATTAATTTCACCCGTGAAAGTATGAGAACAACAGACGTATATAAAATCTGTCTGTTGCAGTTCAATAGACTTCCACCCTCTCCTTAGAAAACAGTACTCTTGTCTCACTTTGACATTCATTTCAATATTCTTGAACTATAATTGTATCTCTTCCTGAGTATTCATTCAACTAGCAGTAACATCTGCTCACTTCCTTCATAAGTCATTAGTTAATAAAATCCTTAACATGTATTTATTTTATGTTCGAGAATTATGATTTTCCTTATTTTTTTAAGATTGTCCTTGCTCAATATGTAGGGTGGGGGTGGAGAGCATTCAGCATACCCCTAATGGACAGAGCCCACTGGTAATTCCTGAGACAACCTTATGTGTATAAATATTTCTTAAGTCACACTTTCTTGATATAACCGTCCTTACTCATAGTAAATGATAGGAGATTCCATCAATGCAATATTAATAAATTCTTTAAATTACCTCGGTTTAAGCAGATACCCATGTTTCAAAACTGTGTTTAATGGGGTAGGGAAAATTAGAACTCTTATTTACTTCCTCTATGACTTCTTGTTACACATTTTATATTCTACCCATATTGGCCCATGGAGTGAGGTAAATAGATATCAAGCTCCCACTGGGCAGCTATACCACCATGACTGTGTTTTTGGTTGTTCTCCAAGACATACGGGAAACAGATTTTATAACACATGTTATGAAACATATGTCCTCACAGTCACCACCTGGTGGATTTGTCTCTGCTTCCTGCCTCTCCCACAGGCTAGGTCCCATCCTGATTTGCTGCAGGTTATTGGAAATGAGGTCCTTCTGGAAGCCTTCTGTGCTCACTAACATCATGACCTAAGTGATTCTTCCTGCAGAATGGAAAGGTGCTGGTCTCTCTATTCAGTGGTCATGACAGTATAGACTGTCTATATTAGTTTCCCTTCTTGTGTAACAAATTAATTCTATTATAGATCTGGAAGTGAGCAGTAAAAATGAATCTTAAGGAGCTACAATCAAAGTGTCAGCAGGGCCTGTTCTATCTGGAGGTTCCAGGAGATAATCCATTTTCTTGTCTACTTCAGCCTCTAGAAGCTGCCTGACATTCCTTGGCTCATTGCCTTTCCTCCATCTTCCTAGATCTTCACTCCAACCTCTGCTCAATTATCCTATCTTCTTTTCAGCACTTGGCCCTGCCTCCATCTTACCTGTGATTCCTGTGATTATATGTAGCCCACTTGGATAAGCCAAGATAATCTTTTCATCTGAGCATCATTAATTTAATTACCTTCAAAAACTGCTGAATACACTAAGCCTTTATTCTTGTCCTCAAATTTTTAGATGATATTTTTACCTGCAATAATCAAACATGGACAGGTTAAACATTAGGCTTTGTCTAGCAGTGGAATTAAAAACTAATATCAAGTAAAAAGTGCTTTTTGCTATGTAAAGTTATGGATTTCACAATGTGGACATCTTAGGAACCATTATTCTGTCTTCCACACTGTCCTGACTCTTTGGACATATAAATTATCAGCATAGAAAACAGGCAGTGTCTTCTGCAATGGTGGAAACAAAAGTTATCAAGAGATACTACTCAGCCATAAAAGAAGAATGACCAAATGCAATTTGCAGCAACACGGATGGACCTAGATATTACCACACTAAGTGAACTAGGTCAGAAAGAGAAAGATGAATGTCATATGATATCACTTACCCATGGAATCTAAAATATGATACAAATGAACTTATTTACAAAACAGTAACAAACTCACAGACATAGAAAACAAACTAATGCTTACCAAAGGGGGCAGAGGGGAGAGGGATAAATTAGAAATTTGCGACTAGCTGACATAAACTATTAATTGCTATTGTTGTTCAGTCCTTAAGTTGTGTTCAACTCTTTGCGACCCCATGGACTGTAGCCCCCCAGGGCTATGGGATTTTCCTGGCAAGAATACTGGAGTGGGTTGCCATTTACTCCTCTGGGAGTGTTTCCCGACTCAGGGATAGAACCCATGCCTCCTGTGTCTCCTGATTTGGCAGGCAGATTCTTCACAACTGAGCCACCTAGAAATCCATATATATGTACCTGGATCACTTTGCTGTACACCAGAAACTAACACAATATTATAAATCAACTATACTTCAATAAAATAAGCCATCAGAGAAAATAATTTAACTGTAGAGACATGAGTCTGCACGAGAGATGGGACTGGTCTGTTAAGACCAGTGTGTTTTCTCAGCTAACTCTGTGTCTGTTCTGTTATTTCATTCACCTTACCTCCTTATTCTCTCTTCGTTTCCACAGATTATTCAGTTAACTGGCATGGATCCACTCCTCTTACATCCCACGGAGAAAAACAATATGAAGCAACAGGCCTTAAAGTTTCTGTCTTGGTACAAAACATTAGTCGGTAAACTGGGGGGGATCCTCTCTCAGGTAAGCCTTGAACGTGTTGTAAAAGGCATTGAGAAGGGGCAACTGAAAGAGGCGACTGATGAGATTGAGAGATCACTTCAGAGATCCAAGAATGCTACCCTGAATGTGGCTGTGATTGGGCAATCTGGTTCTGGCAAGTCCAGTTTCATCAACGTCTTGCGAGGAATTGGTCATGACGAGGCTGGATCTGCTTCTGTTGGAGTTGTGCCAACCACCACAAAGAAAACTCCCTATCCACATCCAAAGTGTCCCCACGTGACCTTCTGGGACCTGCCTGGAACTGGGACACCCAAATCCCTTCCAAACCCTTATCAAGAATTAGTGGGAGATGATAAGTATGACTTTTTCATCATTATTTCTTCCTCACGATTTAGCTCAAACGATGCTTTGCTGGCCCGGGAAATTCAGCAGAACGGAAAAAAATTCTACTTTGTTAGAACCAAGGTGGATAGTGATTTATATAATGAAAAGAAAAGCAAACCCAGATCTTTCAAAAAGGAGACAGTCCTTCAGCAAATCCGAGACAACTGCCTGATCAATCTCAGCAGAATTGTATCTGAGCCGACTGTCTTCCTGGTGTCCAACTTTGAGCCGAAGAAGTTTGATTTCCCAAAACTGCAGGAGACAGTGCTACAGGAGCTCCCTAATGAAAAGCGCTACACCTCTGTCCTCTTGTTGCCAAATGTGTCTGAGTCTTTCATCGAGATGAAAAGAGATATAATCAAGGAGAAGGTCTGGCTGCAAGCCTTCAAGGCAGCCATTTTGGCCTTCTTCCCCATTACGTCTCTCTGCTGTGGCTTTAACTTGCCTGAACAGGAGGAGTGCTTGAAACTTTATCAAGGCCATTTTGGTTTGGATGAGGACTCGGTCAGTCAGATTGCCCAGGAGCTGGGCACATCTGAGCAAGAGATCACCAGCCTCATGAAGTCCACAGATTTCGACTCACTCGTGGAGGATGACAGTACAATAGCCAATGTCAAGAAGTTTGTTGAAATCATTTTCTCAATTACTGGACTCCCCCAGTCTTCTGTTTTCCAGTTTTACAAAGTCTACTTCCTACATTTGAAATTCATCGATACAGTGGCGGAAGATGCTAAAAGAGTCTTGGCTAAGATTGAGGAGATGAAGTAGAGACGGGTGGAGTTGCCAATGTGGATAACAAGTGAACCTCACACGTCGTGTTCTCTGAGTGGGCCAGGATCTTCTACATACCACCAAGGCCAATGCTTCCCAATTTGAAAATATTTTCTCTCTGTTAGAGTAAGGCCATTGCTCCACATTGATACTTTACTGCTCTACAAGGGACTTTGACCATAGCCTGTTTACTGTACTCTCTGAGCTGTTTCCCTTGAATCATGATAGAAATATACCATGTACCTTTCATTAATCTTCCAGTGTTATGAAGTAGTTTTCTTTTGCATGATTTATTCAGATAATAAAATTTCAGCAACAATGAGGATGACTGTTATCCATTGGATTTTTATGAATTATGATCCCCTGTTATCATTATCATCATTAGGACATTATCATCTCAATGTCCTTCTCATGAAAATGAGGGAAAATGCACACATTTGGGAACATGGTCAAGTGAAGAGTTTAGAGAACTACATAGGAGAAATAGTTGAGAGAGAATTAGAGAAAGGGTATAGAATGTCATATTTTCAGATATTCCTGAGGATTAGGGGGAAGAAACCAACTCAGGGTTTATACTTCCAGAACTTTTTCAACACTGGGCTAACAAGACAATATGAGGGACAAGAGATATGAAAGAGTAAAAATGAATTAGGAAGGAAAGCAAAGAATAAGTGAACTGGCAGAAGAGAGAAAATGAGTGCATTTTTCACTCACCAAATTTTATATCAAACTTCTGAAATACGACCTAGCACACATCAACATCACCTGTCTCAGTCTTAGGGATTCTCATTCCTGATGTTATAGTAACTGTAATCATATATGTGACTTTTCTTCCTTCTTCCATCACTGGTATAGGATAGACCCTATACTGAGTAAGATATGTACATGGTGGGAGTCATCCCTCAAATTCCCATATTCTGGAGGTCCTCTCAGAGGGTGGAGGCCACTGAGATGTGGAAGAGGGCATGAGTAGCCCACTATCACTTTACTCCTCCATGCTCCCCCGCTGCTCAGGAGAGGATGCAGTCAGTGGGGGATGAAGGAGATCACTGTGGGTGCTGCCACATATTTAATAGGTATGTGAAATGTTAAAAGGAAAGGAGCTTGTGACCTTCTGTTATGGATGCATTGATTTTAAAAATTCTTTTGTTCCTCAATTCTTAATGTACATCCCTGCACAGTATTTACACTCTGAGAATACAGTCTGTTTGTCAACTTGCCCCTAGACCTCATCTGTCCTTATAAAGAGCATGGATACTGAGGAAATCCTCCTTCTACCTCTACCTCATCTTGTCAATCAGATGTGGCCAACACAGGGACTCATACAATCTTCTCCTCCAGAAGTCATGACTTTCCAAGGTCCCTGGACCTTTTTACTCCATTTCGGGAGCCTTCCAACAATATTGCAAAGGACAAATCAAATGTATCTTGTGTGGGTCCCTGTGGAAACACCCTTGCTACAAAACAAGAGTTATCAAATATTTACATCTGTGATTTTTATTTTCAAAGTTCCCTCTTCCCAGATGAGACAGGCAGGGTTAATGAATCTCTCCATCTTGGAAGAAAGGGAGGAGGAAAGTAGAGAGGCAGTTCCAGTGCTTTGGTTTAATCAACATGGTCCAAGGGTGAAAGGGAAATTTCATGTACCTAACCCGGCATTCAGAAGGGATGGAATGATTTCACAGGTAGAGCAAAGTGGGGAGCTGGGAGGTGGCTGAGAAGAAGAAGGAAAGTCTCAGAGTCTGGTGGGAGGGGACAGAACTTTGAGATGTGTCCAAACTGAGACCTGTGAGTCCACCTATCAATGTGCAAGCATCAGGCTTTTATAAGGGCAGCATCTGAGGTCCCTCCAGACTCTGTCAGAGGAGGCTTCTGTAGCTCCTCCAGGAGATTATATGATAGCTGACCACATTTTAGGCTTTGGGTGAACCTGTCTCATTTGGTAGCCTTCAGCCCATAGCCAGACATATCACATCAGTGTACCATACACTTCCTTGGTCCCCATATGTCTTACTCTGTGAGTACAAAACTCCTTTCATGACAGCCAAAGGGCTGGTATTAGTGAGAAAGGAAAGAGGCCTTCTTCTTCTAATCCCCGCAGCTCAGTGTTACTGGCTAAGAAATTCTTTCAGTCATCTTAAAATCTGGGTCAGTGGTAAAACAGTTCCTGTCTTGTCTTCTGTCCCAAATCACTGACTGAAAGAAAGAAGGTGAAAGTGGCTCAGTCATGTCCAACTCCTTGTGACCCCACAGACTGTCCATGGAATTCTCCAGGCCAGAATACTGGAGTGCGTAGCCTTTCCCTTCTCCAGGGGAATCTTTCCAACCCAGAGATCAAACCCAATTCTCCCACACTACAGATGAATTCTTTACCAGCTAAGCCACAAGGGAAGCCCCAGAACACTGGAGTGGGTAGCCTATCCCTTCTCCAAGGGATCTTCCTGACCCAGGAATTGAACCGGGGTCTCCCACATTGTGGGTGGATTCTTTACCAACTGAGCTATCAGGGAAGCCCAAATCACTGACTAGTAGATGAAAAATATTTTTTGCCTTTTTATACAGTTCATGGGGTCCTCATGGTGAGTATACTGAAGTGGTTTGCCATTCCCTCCTAGAGTGGATCACATTTTGCCAGAACTCTCCACTATGACCCATCCATTTTGGGTGGCCCTACATGGTATGGCTGATCACTTCATCAAGTTATTCAAGCCCCTTCACCACAACAAGGCAGTGATCCATGAAGGGGAAGCCTGGTGTGCTACAGTCCATGAGGTCGCGAACAGTCAGACACAACTTGGCGACTGAACAATAGATGACAAAATGGTTCTCTCCACTGAGGCATTTTTGAAAAAGGTTTTGCGAAAGATGCTGCTCCTTGGACCTTGAGCACAAAAACAACATGCACCTATAAGTTGGAAGAGTGTTCCCAGTTGAGGAAATATGCTAATGCTCAGGTTGTGAAATTATATACAGAGTACATCATGAGAAATGCCGGGCTGGAAGAAGCACAACAGAGTGGACTATAAAGAAAGCTGAGCACAGAAAACTTGATGCTTTTGAACTGTGGTGTTGGAGAAGACTCTTGAGAGTCCCTTGGACTGCAAGGAGATCCAACCAGTCCATCCTAA